CATCTCTGCTTTTTGCAGATGACATCCCGGTTGTGAGAAATGCAGCTGAGTGTAATTTGTAGTTTCAAATGGCCAAGTCCAGGTTGCTCGTATTTATTTATTTATTTGTTTATTAATTAAACTCTTTGTGGCCACTTTAAATGCATTTAAAATCATATGGAGCATTTTTGTCTCCATTTAAGTGTCTTGTGCTTCGATGCACTGAGGTAAAAAATAAAATAAAATAAAATCAACCTGGGACCTGGTGATGAATTCAGACCACAGCTCCCCGATGCACTTGTCAGACCGGACGGATGGTGGAGACGTTCTTCCACCACAGCTGCTGACTTATTCATCTGGCCTCACATTTGTGTGAGGAAACTCCTGCCCACATTCCACTACCGAGTCTGGTGGTTTGAAATGGGCCTCCGTCTACTTCACTTATTTAGCACCGTTCATATATTACAGCTCGATGGGCATTCCCCCAGAGGAGCTGGAGGAAGTGTCTGGAGAGAGGGAAGTCTGGGCATCTTTGCTTAGACTGCTGCCCCCGCGACCCGGTCCCGGATAAGCGGAGGAAAATGGATGGATGGATGGTGCCTCTGGTGAAGACTGTCTATTTTGACAGCGCTAATATAAATAGATGCTAAATAGATAGTGATGCAAGTGACAGTGATGTTTTAGTATTTGCAGTTTCCTTTTATACTAGTTGTTAATCTCAAATTGGCTGGCTGAATTACTGACTGTAAAGTTTGGCACACCCTTATTTCCACCACTCAAAAAACAGTGACCAGCCTAAGGAAAAGGTGACTGCAGGCACCTCACTGAGAGCAGCTGAAGAACATTTCAACAGCATGCAATTTACTGTGTCACTGCCATGTGAAACAGCTACGAGAAAGACAAAAATAACTGCAATCCAAGTGTAGCAGTTAAGAAGCTGGCAATATCATGTGGGTGTTCGCACATTAGACTTTTATCTCGTGTAATAAAAATCTTAGTAGAGTACTGAACATTTATTGTGTATTTCCTAATATGCAATCGAAATTCCCCACCTTGAGGATAAAAGATGATTCTGTGGTGCAAAAAACAGCCTATATTATAAAAGGCCTTTAATTTATACGATATATACACCAGGAGGTAATTTCAGTGTAATGTCATCAGAAGTGTGCTCCAGCAGGCAGCACTCTGACACTCCGTGGAAGTGTCCCTGTAAATGGTAGTGGTGAAAGTGCAATAAAGACAATCAAAGACGGCGAGAGTCTACTCTCCATCATTATCTACTTAAGTCTGTAACGCAACATACTGTGATTCACACAGATTAGCTGAAGATAAAAGGAGAAAATGTTAGTCCAACAAAATGTCACTGCTGTTCTGGTAAGTTAGTAGCCTAGCATATTGGCATTACAGGCTTTCTCAAAATTGTGATCCATCTGGTAAGTTAGTAGCCTAGCATATTGCCATTAAAGGCTTTCTCAGAATTGTGATCCGAAACATCCTCTGCTAAGATGAAACCACAACACACGTTCTCTTATCCTACATTTCCTTTCTCCGGTGTGTGCAGGTACGTGTCTGTGTGCCTTATACTCGCCCTTTTTTGCTCTCTCCAGCGGCCACTGAGCTTGTCATCCAGCCGTCGAGCAGCAGAGGCCCACTGTGATGCCAGCCTGCGTATGCGTCTCTTCATGAAGCTCAGTGATTCCTTCCCGGTGCCCACCCGCTCCAGCAGAGTCCCGGTGTCAGACTGGAAAACCGCCTGGACGACAGGAGGAATAAAAATCACTGGATAGAATCGTACATGTATGGAACTTCCGCCTTTCTGCTGTGTTTCATTACTTCATGCAGATCTTCCACTCCACTAAAGAACAGGCTGATAGACTTATAGCTTGGCCAGAAGCAGAAAAAACTAATACAAAACAGACATTTATGCTTGGTTTCTATAAGTGGATCTTATCTTCACTGAGTGTGGTTAAGACGGTATAAAACAGAGAAGAGCCTTTCATATCTGGCTTGTGCCCTAAGCCTCTCAGACAGGGTGTGTGAGGCATCCCTAGGTCATCCTCATAAATAGTCTGCTCTCATTTTACATCTCCCACTTCACCAACTACAATCATTGCTTCACAGTGCAATCCCAGCATGCACATTTTCATCAATGGGGGAGCACAGAGGACTTAAAGACAAGATGAACTGAAGAGAAACTGACACACACACACACACACACACACACACACACACACACACTCATTATAAAATGAACTTAGATCCTCTCAGATAAAATCAATATGCAGAGCTGTACTGTATTCTCACAATGCAGGTGAATTATTGCTCTCCAGAGCAACTTGTGTACAGCACAGCAAAAATAAGTACCCAAGGGAAGCATTGGGATTAGTCCCAGAGCATACAGGCTGGCAATTAGAGCAGAAGGTAGAGCTGCAGGGTGAAGTCACATCAGGGCCCAACACACTGGCTGTAAATTATATAGGGAGGAGGAAACAGAAGCAAATGGGGGAATAGGTCGTGTTGAGAGGCCACAGCGCATCACGTGTTGATGCTGAAAATGATGTCACTCCCTGTTTACAGAACAGCAATGAAAACAGGGAGTGACAGCCGCAGTAGCACGACGTCAGACAGAATCATTTCAAAGCACTGTGTAGCATCAGCACCAAGTTACCAATCTGCACTGTCTCTAAAGTGTTTGTTAAAAAATATTTCTCATTTTCATCCTTTTTCTTCCTAATCTGGTCATTTCATATTTATACCATAGACCCTGTGACTGCCAAGATCTGGACCCCTGTTGGCATTAGGAGAGTGTAGACCACCCTGTGCCTCCTCAGTGAGTGTATCACCTGGTATGTTTCACCTGACAAAGATTTTTACGTACTTTTTTCCAAGCAGCAGAAATGAAGCCAGTGTAGAAGTGTCAAAATGTGTATTTTGTCGAATGGCCACTTGAGGCTGGCTCCAAAATGGACTCCTATCTTAAAATGTCCAACTTTACAACAGAAATAAACCTGTTCATAGCCTAGCACAAGAAACAGCTTTGGTCTCTATAGCTAATGCCCCTTTCCATGACACCTGTATGGGGGATGAATTTTTATATAACTCGGCCAATTAAATTATTTTAAGGCTAAAGGTTCCACATATGGGTGTGGTCACTTTGAGTGACAGGCGGGAGGGTCCTGCCACAGGTGGCTGACCGCTAGCTGTCTCGAGAGCTCGACTCATGCTCCATCTCTTTGCCCATAATTGGAATTAGCCATAGCAGGCAGAGCGAAGCCCTACCAAGAAGGTGACGGCCTGACTTCAGAAAACCAGTGGGTGACGTCATGCAGGGTTCATCCATCTTTTATATACAGTCAATGACTTTTTACCAAGATTGCTCCCTCACATTGAACAGGTGTGCTAATCCAATACCAGGCCCCAGCGCAGCAACAAGGGCACGCTCCTCATCAGACTATGTTCTTCGCTGCTTGTTCTTTCCAGGAACTGGACTAATGTCTCTGCAATAGTGGACAGCTGTTTTACCTCTATTCCAAACCCTGTGCTCCCAGGCGTTTCCCCATTCAGCTGAGTTGTCCAATTAAAATGTTGTGTTACCTGTCTCTTGGGTGGTGGTTTTAAGGTGGGTACAGCAGTCTGGTTCCTCCAGGCCAGCGGGGGGCAGAACCACTCAACCTCACTGAGGTAGACGAGGAATGAGCAGTCAGAACCATCCACTCCATAAAAAGCATAGCAAGGGTCTGAGGTCCAACGAGCGCGCATCCACTGGGAGGAAAAAGGCGCAATCTTTGTGTTCTTAGAGCAGTAATAAGATGTGAAACTCTTACATATCACAGTCCTAGTTATGGAGGATGATTTCATCCATAACCAGGACTGTGATATGTTCCATTTCCCAAAGACAGTAAGAATAAACACAGCCCTTGCACATGTATTTTTCATACAAGTCACCATATGTGACCTCTGTAGACATTTAACTCTTAGCTGCAGTTACTCAGTACTGTATATTTTCACACAGTTTTCTTTTCTTAAATGCCTTCACCGGTTTCCACACAGTTGGTAGAAAGCACATTTTGGGCATGCTGTATTGTTTGCTTGTGAAAACACTGCAATTTTCTACTGCTGCTATTTTGAACATCCTGTTATGGTTGTGATTCATACAATGCATCACTATACAGTTTATCTATATGCACTTAGTTTGTTTTATTCTTTTTTTCTGCTTTTCTTTGCTGTCACCTGATGCAACTTGGTGCTAGGACTAGCCAGTTTTCCACAAGGAAACTTTAAACATTCTCTTATTATACAAAATTGATGTTGCACCAAAGCGAATCCCCGGCAGAGGACAAAGGGATGTCTGCTCTGCGTGAAACCGCTGGGATGTAAGTGAGATATAAAGACTTACGTCCATCTTGCTGGGGCAGTCTGGATAATGGGGATCTTTTGGAATCTCACATTGTGCTAATATTCCATCCCTAACTGGAGAAAAGAAAAATGCAGGGTGTTTATTAAAGTCTTAACACACTGACAACAGACCACACATGAGATACTGGCACAAATTAGACACAAAAAAGAACTCCATTATTTGGACTCTTTTTTTTTCCTTTTTTTTAAATTGATCTACGTTTTCAAGTGCAACATGTTCTGGTCACCCTTCATTCTGTTCTCAACAGCTTTTATGAATTTATCAGGTTTTATGTGAGGCTTATTTTAGCAGCACAAAACCCTACTTCATAAAATACCCATTGACCTCCTGGTTAATACTGATTGATCAGGTCTACATTGTTTCTCCAGGGCATTAAGTCTGTTAGTCCTTTGCAATAAAGTATATATCTTCCTGCCTTTGGGATAAACAGAGATAAATTAGACAGTAAAGTCAGCTAACAAGCTCCTGTAAAAGTTTGGGCTCCCCTACTAAATGGTCAAGTCTCTGTTCCAACCCACTCACTGGATTTACTATAGATAGACTGCATTAGTATGATTCTTGAAAATCCTAATCTTTCCTTGCTCCACGTTCTTGCTGATGTCTTTCTGCAGCTCAGCTAACCCTCTCTCCTTTACTCTCCCTGCCTCTCCCCCCTTCTTTTCCCTTTCATTTATGTGAAGGCTCTTCAAGCCTGGTGCCTAATTAAAGGAGAAGTTGCAGCTCCCCCACCTGCATCCTGCCAAGCATCAAAGAGCACAATCACAGACAAATAATTGCCATCCATTCTGATTAGCATGATAACAGCAGAGCTCTCACGATGAAAAGTGCGACTGCCTGCCGCTGTCAAAACTTAGCCAGGTTCAGACCCGGCCTCGTATGAATGATAGCAGATATTATGACAAATTAAAGCAGGGTATCTGGCACTTTTTAATGAGACAGTGAGTTGAACTGTTTTCATTTATAAAGTGCAATGCAGTGGATACACAGATGGAATTAAACTGTGAATTAAGTTGTGTTGTCCAATTTCTATTCAGTGGCCAATAATGAAATTGATAATGAAAGTTAATAAAGAAAGCGGATTCCATTAACTAGGCAGTAATTTATCATCAAAATGTGAACATCGTGCAGTTGTGTGGTTACAATATGGCAGCGACTACAGAGAGCTGTGCTGTGCACACAAGTGCTCTTCTATCTTTACACAAATAGCGGCTTGCTGTTTGAACAGGTAATGTGCTGTGAATAATGTCTGTCATGTTCTATAAGATCAATCAGCAAGTGCATGTTAGACACAAACTGTGCATTCAAGTGTGAGACGATATAGGCTTGACAGCTGTGCTTATATGGGCAGAGAGGACAAGTGTCTTAAGATGAACCTGAAATGCACAGTGGAGATTCATCTCATGGGCTACAGCTATGTATGGTGTCCTCCAGGTGTGTCAGTGGGCAGCGAGCAGGTTGTGTGTGTGTGCACATGTGTGTGTTAAAAATCCTACCTCTGTTGCTGGCCATGCTGCGCTGCAATAGCTGCTCCACCCTCACCGCCATGTCAGACATGTTCTGGGCTATGGCCTGGATACGCTCCACTAGCCCCATAGGCTGAATCCTGATCATGCACGTCACAAAGGAAGAGAGTAGCTAAAAATATTCCAACCACAACCATCTTGTAATGACCTGAATTCTCTTCAAACTGCAATCAGGCGTCTTCGGCAGAAAGAGAGAACTATATTTCTTGTATGGCTTCTTTCCATCTAATGGCGTTTGTTGTTTTCCCACCCTTCATAGTGAGCATGAAGTAGTGGAACGCTAATCGTCTAGAACTTGAGGCGTGAAATCGAAAAAGCTTTTCAACACTGACAGATAATATATCTGTTGCGATAACAAAACGACTCAGCATATTAAAGTGCGTCCCTGGGAGACAATTAGGTTATTAACAAATGTGTTTCACTGCACTTGACCTGTGGCCTAAATGCTGTTGGCAAAACAACGAGGGACCAATATTTACTGTGTGATGGAGAGGGAGATATGAGATGAGAGCAAAAAGGAAGAAGGGGGTTTGCAATAAACAATATAGCGCAGGGCTATATTTCCAAGGGACTTCAAAAATCTGTGGCATGTCAAAGAGAAAGAGAGCAACAGCAGCTCATCTGAAACACTGTTCCATCCAGGACTGCACTCTTAGTAAGAGTTTCATTTCACCCTAGAACCTAAGACTTGCTGTATGTACAGTCAGAGCTGGAACAAGCCCATGACATAACTGCTCTCTAACATCAAAACGCCTAAAGAGAAAAGGACATCCTAGTAAATATGATCGTACTGTGCAATGAAAACCCTTCAGCGGAAAGAAGGCAAATGTTTCAGCTTTTGCTGCAACACCTTAGGAATGTACTGCAGCTACCGATATTAATGGTTTCATGCAATAAATTATGAAGTATTTCTGAAATAGACGTCTCTCTTGCCTCGGCATCTGACTCAAAGTCAGGTTGACTAGAATTGCCAGATATCTGCTATGTGTGTGTTGTAGTGTAAAATTTGTGCAACTCTTTATGAAGCTAAAAGTCCCAAACTATTTCCTGGAGCCAGAGATGACGTCTTCAAATTGCTCGTTTTTTCAGTTTTCAGTGCAGTACTCTGGAGACAATGGGGAGCAAACCTTCTTTTGTGCTTTTGAGAAGCAGGTCAGTGCCAGTGACTTGTTGATAAGACAGACACTAGTACAGTAAAGTACACACAGACCACAGAGCGGCACAAAGGTTGTCACTTGCACAGACAGACTTTTGTGCTGTCACATACAGCAGAACCATCTGATATTTAAACTGCTGAGTCTCACCCATCAGCTATTGAAGAGAAACAGGATGACATAATTACTTGATTAAAATTAAAGCAGGTTTTTCTGAAGATCTCACATTAACATGAAGGGTCAGCTCTGACCTTGAGCCATGGAGTATTTTTTAATCACCTGAGTGAGGTAAAATGAAATCACGAGGTATCACAATGACAGTTTTACCACCAAGCTGGTTTAAAAACCACTTGGCCTTTATCGCTGTATCATCTCCTGTTTAGTCCCTGCGAGGCCAATTAAATGACTTTTTAGAACTATATGACCAAGTGCATAATCACAGGCCATTTTGTAGAGAAAATTAAATTCCGTAGGTGTAATATCAAGCTGCAAACATAATTACATGCACAGTTTTGGTCAAAGTGCAATAAATATTTTTCCCTCAGGCTTGTGAAAAGCAGGAGTCAGGTCTGCGGAGGTGTGGGACCTCTTCTGTCACTGCAGTCTTATATTAGATTCATCTACTGTGGCTGCACATGTTATTGCAACACCAATTAATATATTATCAGTGGTGGTTGTACAGACCCTGTTTCCTGGCTGTGAGGAGGAGGGAGGTGCTGTCCAAACAGGCAGCAAAGGCAGAAACAGGAGGCAGCTTCCTCTCCTCAAACCCTGAGCAGGTGCAGGCATGAGGAAAAGGTCTGTTGCCATAGAAACCACGGAGCGCACATACACAACTCTAGCCTGGCATCTTCAACTTGTCCAGAAAGACCCCTGCTCCCGCTTTTTTTGGTAATACAGTCTCTTTAATTTCGGCTCATGAAGAGGGAGGGAGTTTATTCCAACACATATCTTCTTCAGCACCAAGAGGCGTGATCTGCTGGGATGCCCCAAGGCTTCATACCAGGTCGCCTTCCTTTCTTCACAGTGTCTCTCGGGTTCTCTTCAGCCTCCACATTTTTATCTTGCAGTTTCTATCGCAGTGACATTCACCTTTGGCACACAGGTTGATCTGGAGGACAAGACCAAATACTCTGCAGACCACCTTAATTTCAACCTTGACTTCTTTGAGCTGCTGTTCTTTCCTGGCCTATTTCAGCACCTTTCTATTATTACTGATAGAACTACAGTGACCACCACCAGCACTGGAGGAAACGATGCTTCCTGGAACCCAGTTTAGTACAGTAAATAAAGAGTAACATACTAGACTGGCTCCTGCTTGGAGGACACCAGTCATGACAGCTGAATCACACAGCACTGTAGCACCTGGAGAGTCTAATAGTGAAGATATCAAAACTATGAAACAACACATATGGAATTATGTAGTACGCACAAAAGTGTCAGCAAAGCTAAATGTGTTTCATACTTTAGGTTCCACAAAGCAGCCTCTGTTTGCCTTGATGACAGCTTTGCACAACATGGGCAGTATGTTAAGCAGTATGTTAGCCACTCTCTTCGCCTTCTTAATATGTCAGAGACCATCGGCTGTGAAGAGCTGAGGTTATGTTGCCAGACAGCAGTTTCAAGAAATTTTGTTGAAGTGCAGCCATAAAAATCAAAGCTATGATGAAACTCGCTCTCATGAGGACTGCCTCAGGAAAGGAAGACCATGAGTTAGCTCTGCAGCAAAGGAGAGGTTCATTAGTTTACAGCCTCAGAAATCACCAATTAACGGCAGCTCAGATTAGAGTTGACATCAGTGCTTCTCAGAGGTCAAGTAGCAGACACATCTCAACATTAACCGTTAGGAGTAGACTGGATGAATGGGGCATTCATGGTCGAACTGCTGCAAAGAACTGAAGGAGACCAACACGAGAGGACACTTGCTTGGGCCAGGAAGCACAAGGAAAGGACGGCAGACCAGTGGGACTCTGCTTTGGTCTGATGAGTCCAAATTTGTGAGAAAGAGAAGGTAAACAGATGGTATCTGCATGTGTAGTTCCTGCTGTGAAACACAGAGGAGGAGGTGTGATGGTGTGGATGTGCTTTGCTGGTTGGGGGTTTATTCAGAATGCAAGGCACACAACTTAACATGGCTCCCACAACATTCTGCAGCCATGTGCCTTCCCATCTGGTTTGTGCTTACCGAGAGGCCATCTTTTGTTTTTCAACAGAACAACGACCACAAAAAACACCTCCAGGCTCTGTGAGGACAATCAGACCAAGGAGGCGAGTGATGGAGTGCTGCATCGGACGGCCTGGCCTCCGCAGTCACCGCACCTAAACCCAGCTGAGATGGTTTGGGTTGAGATGGACCACAGAATAAATGAAAAGCAGTCGATAAATGCTCAGCATATGTGGGAAACTCATGACCTCCTCTAGATGAGCACGAGCCAAGGTCCCACATTTTATGCATGAACATTTTATTCAAATGCAGAACACAAGTGGCCAATGCCTTTCCTCTAGCTCTCTTACTGTTGGTCAGACAGATGAGCTAATACACTGCTCTTCAAGAGCACAGTAAATTCTTCATCACATTTTTTCTAATTTCTGTGCCAGTAATGTATTGCCTTCCCCAGACACTTTCAGAGCCAACCATAAAATACTTTGGCAACAACTGTATCCTCTGCTAAACCAAAAGTGTTGGTCTTATAAGCTACAAAAGGAGCATTCTCTTGTTCTTTGCAACATGCAATGCCGTACCTGTCCAGGGCCGAGCTGAGCTCATCCAGCCTGTGGGTGTCGGTGGTGTTACCCAGTTTGGACAGGGCGTCCATTCTCTTCATAATGACCTCCAGCATGTCACTGATTTTCCTCAGCACCCCACGAGACTCTTGCCCACCAAGTACTAAAGAAAATGAAGAGACACACAGATACTGTACAGTAGTATGTAAGCATACAGAGGAAGAATAAAAGTGTAAAGATGATAAATTAAAATAAAAATGACTGAATTTGACATTGTAACTGTAACACTTGCCAAGTGTTTAGACAAGGAATTATTAATCTCTAATTAAGGCCAACAAGCTGGAATAGGTTCGGCTACTGGAGCAATGTATGGTGTTCAAATGAATTTCACAAACCATATGTTTGAACACTTTCTTACTGTATTTGAACGTGTGCACATATACAAAACAACTTAATTAAAATAATGAAAAACATGGAAAATGAATAAACCAAAATAACAAAAGCTTAACCGTGT